TAATATAGACTTGAGTTAAATATCTATGCTCTTAAATGGAAAAGAGATGGAATATACTTATTTGGATTAATAGGGTATCTTCCATCCATGAATGAATGTGGATATATGGGCATGCTGCAACAAAACCAGACAAAGTGAACATTTGTATTACAAGGATTACAAGGATTTCAAGGTTCAAATGAATTTGAAAAGAAATTATTGATCACTAAAATAGAGTTTATGTAAATTTTAATATGTACAAATTATTTTATCTTGTATTTAATTAAGCATCTCATCAGAGAAACATCCTGACAGGATGAAAATAAATTGCTAGATTAAGATTCTAATATTTATGAAACAATACCAAAAGTAGAAACACCTTCCATAATTGTTATTTGCAGCAATGGTGGTTACTAGCTCAATCATTTATGGTAAGTGTCTTTAACCAAAGGTATGTTTAAAATATTTTAATGTGTATCATTTTATTAATTATAATAAGGCAATCAATTACTATATATAATCTGCAACTAAATATTTCAACAGCTAGGAATTTTCATTGGATTATGTAACATTTCTCTAGTCATTTTCAGCTTAGGAGATTTTACTTGAGTATTTTTCTTGACAATTGAATGGTATTATGTTGCAGATTTTTCAACAAACTCCTAAAAGTAATATATGGGGCATTCTGCAACAAAATCAGACAAAGTGAACATTGGTATTACCAATGATTTCAGGGATCAAAATTAGTAATGTGATTATTAAAATCTCTCATTTGTTATATTTGTTTTTTTCTTAATATTAAGAGATATATAAAATTACCTCTATATAAAAATAGTTAATATGAAGTTGATTTACATTAGGTCTACCATAGAACCCAAGAATTATAGCACCATTAGAAGCATTTTGAAGAAAGAACAAGGAAAAAAATTGCCCCTTATATTTTCAAAATAAAAGATACCCAGGCATTGGAAACTTATCCAAGAAAAGAAATGATTACCCATAAAATTTACCAAGAAAAATAATAAATGTTAGAAAAAGAAAGCGGAAATCTTTAGAAGGAAAATAATCCCATTGTTACAATGTTTGATTTATTGTTTCTTTTTAGTCCTCCTAATAACATAAATCATAACAATTATAAATTATAAAACCTAAACAAGTTATACCTGCTATTCATCATCAAATAGATTTATCATCATAATTTCCTTTACTCTTTGAAATATTGTTTTTATATTTATCACCAGCTTTGGAAAAATCTTCATCTTTTAAATCTGAGACAGTATTTTTAAGGTGGTAGATATTGGGAGCTTGAATAAGCCAACTATGTTTATAATCAAGCATTACATAAATCTCTGGACCAAAATTTTTTACTGTTTTCAATAATCACATGATTATCATCAATAAAAATATCAACTTGACAGTTCTCTTTTATTCAATCTCAGTGATGGGGAAAACTTCTTTCATTAGGTTATTCCTTGTTATTTTATAAATTTTTATTCTAGTTTGTGAAAATTTAGCAGAAGTTCTCTGAAGATTCCAATTTTTCTTAAATCTCCTTTCACAGGGTGAAAATTTGTTTTGTTTTGTTATAATCTTTTAAACCTTCTTAGAAAGAAGAAAAAACAAGCAATTCCTCAACCAAATTTTTTTAAAATTTTCCAACTCCTCTATGTTTATGTTTAAATTGGTTATTCCATGACTTCCGAAATCGCCTTGCACTTTTTCCCAAAAAGTTTTAAAAAATCTTCAAAAGAAATAGAAAGAAGTTTATACTTTCCACAAATTTTATAATTTATATATGAATTTAAAGGCTGCAAACACTCATCTCAATCACAAATAATTTTTAGTTTTCTTCCCTTCTCTTGAGACATTTGTTTGATTAGAGTATAGAGAGAGTCAATTTTATTTTGATTCATGCCTTTATAATATATTTTTACTGTAAGTTGGCTTTGGACAAGTAATATCTTTGTATTCATCTTTCACAAATGGTGAATATTATTATAAAGGTATTCTTGCATTTTGTAGTCCAAAGGAGGTGGTGTTAACACTAAAATAGATAAAGCTTTAATTTCTTCAAAATATCTGCTTTCTTGGTTTTCAATAAATTGAATTCAGTAAAAGGTCCATCAACAATTTCCTGAACTTTGACCACACCAAGGTTAGATGCCTCAAAAAGAAAATGAATTAACTGAAGCTGAGTGTGGAAAAATTTTGGGTCTTAGATTAGGTGGTAGTAGTCTTAATAAAATTGTAAAGATACTTAAGCTTCCAAAAGTTACTACAGTTTATAATACCATTAAATGTTATGAAAATGCTGAAAGCCTAAGAAGTGCACCAAGAAGTGGACATCCCTGTGCATTAAATGTTAGTGAACAAAAAAACTCTCAGAGAAATTGCATTAAAAAATAATCGCAGTTCTGCAGAAGAGATTCAAAGAAAATTTGTTGGTGTCAGTGGTGTTGAAGTGTCAGTCAAAACAATTTGCAAAAATTTGCATAAACTTGGTCCAGGGTTGCCACAGTGAAATCTCTATTAACAGATCAACAAAGAGAAAACCAGTTAAAATGGTGTTTAGATAGAAGAAATTGGACAATCATACAATGGAAATCTGTTATTGGAGTGAGCTTGAAAGGATTCCCTTAATTCTGCAAATCCTTCCTTGGGAATTCTTGAAGAACAGCCACGACCACAACCTTTTCTAAAAAATCAACAGCTTTTTGATATTCATTAGAACCATTATACTTATTATTACTTTTCATATACACTTATATATAATTTTATGTTCACTTTGTGGTTTTTTTAAAATTGGGATGAGAAGAAAGATGAATAGAGATCATTCAAAGAGCAAAATATTGAAAAGGCAAAAAAAAATTAATGAATATTAGCAATATTTTATTTTCAATAACAACAATTTAATAAAAAGTGATTTTGTCTTTAAATAATTATAGATTTTTCTATATTTTAGTTGAATGCAAAAAAAAATTTTTGATGAATCAATAAATAAATTATTAAACTCATTGAATGAATTGACTCATAAAGACAATGATAAATATTAATGTTGAAACTATTAGATCATAAATGAATTATTTGAAATGATAAAAATTGTACCAGTTGTGAAAAAGTCAAATAAAATGATTATTTTGATGAATCAAAGCTGAAGTAGAAAATAAAAAATAAAATAAAAAATAGAACAAAAAAAACGATATAATAAACAATGAATATATGATAAATTAAATAGACACTCATAAAGCAACAGCTTGGATTGGTAATCTGTTATTATGATAAATAGATGTTGTATTAAAAAAAGTAATATAATTCGAATGATAACATTTTAAAGGAGTAAATTAAAAAAGATTTAATATTAATTAATGTAAATTAAACAAAGTTCCGTGTAGATGTGAATTTAAGAGGTAGATAAATGTTTATATATTTTTTTTAGTCAAAAAACAAATAGTGAATTCAGTGGTTGCGTTAATCAATGTTATGAGAATGATTATATGTTGGTATTTGATTATGCTAAAAATGGAGATTTACATAATAATTTATATAAAAATTTTAAAGAGATTGATTAGTGGAATAAAATTCAATCACTTTTGGATATTTCAAGAGGTGTGTTTTAATATCTTATTGATTATATATCATCACAATGACCAGTAATTTTTACAACAATATTAATGGACATGATTTAATTGCACAGTGGGTCTCGATTTAACAGACCTCAATTTAGCAGATTTAGGGTTTAACGGATAAATTTTCAAAACCAAATTTTTCTATAATTATTTATCTCAATTTAATGGATTTAACGGATTTTCATCAGGGCTGGCAGTGTAAAGGGGTTAAAAACCTAATTTAGTAACAATCATCTTGGCTAAACTTGACTAAACTTGACTTAACATATGACTAAATAGTTTAGCCAGTTTAGCCAAGTGCTCATTTGAGTTATGCAGCCAGCCCTGATCCTAAACAATATTGTCACCTTGGCCAACTTGTTTCAAAGAATAAATTTTCCACCTCCACCAAAATTGCTAATATTTTAAATAAACGTTATTCTAATCTCAATATTAGTAATAATACAGTACTTAATGAGCTTCATAGACTACAATATTGTTCCATTGTCCCAAATCTGTGTCCCTTCTTACCAACAAACACAAACAATGTCATATAGAATTTGCCATAAAGTACAGAAGACAAAATTGGAACAAAGTCATTTTTTCTGATGAAACTACATTACAAATGTTTAGGAATACTCAAAAAGTATTTTATAAATCTGGCAGTCAACCTCCACACAAGGCTATGTAGAACATCCTTACAAAATTCATGCCTGGGGCACCTTTTCTGTAAAAGGTCCAATTGGTTTCTTTCTTTTTACTGATATTATGGATGATGTGTTATATAGAAAGATTTTAACTGAAAATCTATTTGACAATGCAAACAATGTCATGGGAAACCATTGGAATCTTTCAACAAGTAATGACCCTAAGCATACAGCTAGAGATACTAAAAAACTTCTCACACAACACTGTCCAAAAATGTTAGATTGGCCATCAAATAGCCCAGATCTCAATCCAATTGAGAATTTGTGGCAAATTTTAAAGAGACATGTTTATACATGCAGCCCAAAGTATTTTGACATTGTCATAAAGTGAGTTACACATGTAGTAAGTAGGTGTTACACTTATGTTTTTAATAGTGAATGCTGTAATTAATTTCTACTTTCTACCATCAAAATTGGAATAATTTTGACCATTAAAATCACCAAACCAATTTGGGCTGCATGTATATCCACAACTCTGCCTGTGGATTTGAGCTTCCACCTCAGATTGTCTTTCATTTTATATATTCTTTATCAAATGTCTTTTTGAGATCCAATTTAATTTCATTTTCCACTTTGTCAGAAGTTCACAGTAATCAGGAGTCATTTCCCCACTTTCCATATTGTGTAGTTTACTTTTAATCTGCCTGGTTGAAACTTCATTATCCTAACACATTAAAATACAAAATAGTGTTCTATTGATTTCAGGTTTCTAGCTAATGAATGTTCTGTCATTAACAGTTCCAATTGTTAGAGTACCTCCTGTAAATGTATTTTGAATACTAATTGAAGGTGATTTTTCAGATTCGCAATTCAACACCCAATCCCTAGCAAGTTTGTGATCACATAGCATGAAAACTTGGAGAATTAGTAATATTCTTAATTAGCATATCCCTAGTTTCATCTATTTTCTATCCCACCAGGTCGGCTTAGAAGGTCACCTGTGCCCCAATACTAGCTTCATGGCTTGGCTTAGAAGGCTTGAATGACGAAGAGCTTAGAAGGTCTTCAGCACGCCACCAATTTTTATATATTTATAACAACAATGAAAAAGTCCAATATTTCCTATATTTATAAAGCAGTTCCAGTGCTTTCTCACGCTTTGGGCCTTTCCTCAGTATTAACGATTTTCTCTAGGCACTTAACATAAAGACTTAACTTCGCTCTTGTTGTTTTCTTTTAAAACATCTTCAATATTCCATTTTGACAGCTTGTGATCAAAGTATTGATGCATTTTTTTTTTTTTTTTGAAAGTGTTTTTAGTATATACAAACGGTTTCATTGGCCAAATTTTATCAATCTTTCAAATCATCACACAAATTTAATTTTTTGACTGGTTTGAAATTTTTCTAAAAAATAAAAGAATTTATTTTCATGATAACATTCATGATCAATATATATTTTTCTTCATGTGAAAAAGTACAAGGTATGATGGAATTATTTGTGATAGTATTATTACCCATTAGTTGAAAAGGGGGGATATTGATGTTGATTTTTTTGATGATCACATAACAATAATTAATCACTTAACTGTAGACTGAATAACTATTATTTTGGCAGAACCAACCATTGAATATGCAAGTTAACATGGAAAAAAATATGTTCGCCTAAATGTTAAAATGATGTTTCAATTAATTGAATTTTTTCTTTAATGTTTGTTTTTGAAAATTTATCTAAAAGTTAAAGTAATAAAATGATAAAATGATAATAAAAAATATACAAAACCATTATCTTAACAAATCAACCATTGAATATGCAAGTTAGCATGGAAAAGAATATGTTGCCTAAATGTTAAAATGATGTTTCAATTAATTAAGTTTTCTTGTTTCAAAACCTATCTAAAAAAATTAAAAATAATAAAATAATATCACCAAGTTAGTATCTATTTCTTCATCGACATTATAATTATCATTGTTATTATTGTTAAGTACAGATTTATTTTTTTTCTTTGAATTCGATCCAAGATTTGATTGCCCCTACAACCCTGGCGTCAGATTTTGTCATATGGTTATAATAATTTTCTACTGCTTTGTTCGAGATAACCTTTATTTTTTTCTCCTTTCTAAGATTGCTCACAACTTCAGTAATCATATCAGCCTTGGAGTAATATTTTTCTCGCATAGTCTCGTCGAAAAGCTTCTTGAAATTTTGCACGAGTTGATCTGAAGTTCATCTTGAAGCTGAAATGATACAAAAATATTTGATTTACTATGGGCATCTCACCAAAGACAACAGATATTTATACATTGAAATAATCTTACCTCGAGAACTGCTTGAACTATTATTGCTTGAAAGATTTCTTGGATAATTAGTTGGGGTATTTTCTTCCTGGAATCTTTGTTGGATCTCTTCACTGAACAAAGAAATTTTTTCGGAAAGTTCGTCTATTTTATTAAGAAACTCTTCAATTTTATTATAAAGCTCATCAATTTTTTATCAATTTCTTCAGATATATTATCAATTTTTTTAGAATGTTTTTTTGTTTCTCCTTCAATAAATCAAGATCCATATCAATCCGTTGTTTAAATATGTAGAAAACAAAGCATGCAACGGTAATGAATAGGTATATGAAGAATTTTTCTCCAAATATAAAAGTTACGATGAGGATCAAGATAGGAATTGTAATAAAATAATTCTCTAATGGCATTTTTGCGAGGGTTTCGAGAAATTCAGTTGGCGTCATCTAAAAATGATATCAATTAGTACGATGGTTTTTTATAATCCGCGGGAACAAGCATCCTACATACCTTTGATTTTATTAAAGTAAGAATGATATTTAATATGATTTATTTATTAACGTGGGTTTGATTGATTTAACAAATTTTTATTGTATTTATTTGAATGTTATAGTTATGAAGTAGAAAAACTATGCGAATTCGAGCTGTTTTTATACGTATTTCAAAATCTCTCTGGTGTTGATTGTCGATCTGCTATGGGTACATGTTATTAAAGTTATCAGGAATCATTGGTTTTTTTCAGAATTACATACTAGCTCATTAAAAATTTATCTAATATGGACGATCCGTTACCTTTGCCGATCCTAATTATTTGTGTATTTTATCTGATAGGTAGAATCGAAAACTTTGGTACATCTCATACTACGCACAGGCCCTCATTCGATGTCAAAAAAATAAGCTTAATCGTTTTTATACAACAACAATACATACCTTTTATTTATGAGTCTTTAGACTCTGGGCTTTGCCCATTCGTAAAAACAAGAGAAGATCTGGTGATCGCATAATATTACACGACATTAGACCAGGTCCAGGCCAATCTGATCCAAGAACCAAGAATTCAACGGGATTAATTGATGTTTCCATAGGAGGCTTTTCTTCGACTGCGCGATTTACAAACAACATTTTGGTTATATTATTATACACTGTATCTATGACCGAGAAAAAAATCAAATCGGAATTAATTACTTAGTCTCTACTACGAAGCACCATTATCTGTAACCCACGAATTGTGAAAATGAGGAAGAATAGGCGTACCGACTCGTCTAAGATAATTATTAAATTCAGTAATAAAAGAATCCGGAGGATTTAAATCGTCATGTTGGATCGATCCTCTTATAAGTGGGGGAGTTCATCTTCTGAATCAGAATTAGAAGAGTCGGTCACAGAATCAGGCCAATCGCAATATTCTTCGTTGAAATTATCGATATGAATATTTGGGTTAAGTTGTTTTATAGTTTTTTTATTGATATTTTCAACACCCTCCAATCAAGGTATTTTAAATCAGGACATGAACTGGCGATTTCTCTGATAGTTGCGTTAGAGATTTTACAATAAGCAAGTGCGAGATGCTGAAGTTTAGGACAAGAGCGAATAACATTGCAAATTGATGAATTAGTAATGAAATCATTCCCGTCAAGTTCAAGATATTCCAATTTATGACATGTAGCTATTGTATCAATAAGATCATTGCCTATATCATTACCACTTATATCGAAATGATTTAAATTTGGAGAAGATCTAATGATAGCTGAAATATATGCGTTTTTTCGAAAAGCCATAACACCACTAAAATCAAGATATTCCATGCTGAGTGATCTTCGTGTTAACAAACTAGTATCTTCAATTTTACCGCGACTAAATGCAATATCAAGACATCGTAATTTTGGAAATTGGTTTATGATGCAACTTATTGATTTATCAGTAATCCAACGTGCTCCACTAAAGTAAAATTCTTCCAAATTCTGACACGATTCTGCAATTTTTATTAAGGATTCATCAGTTATAGATTTACAGTAAGAAATGTTTAGATATTCCAATTTATAACATAATTGTGCAATTGTAGAAAGTCCTTTATCGGTTATTATTTTGTTTTTCCATAAATTAAGATATTTCAAATTCGGATATGATTCAGCTATTATAATTAGTGCTTTATCGCTAAAACTTTCACTACTTTTGAAATCTAGATGGATTATATTTGGACATGAATCCACGATACTTTTGATTATTTTATTTGAAATTGAATGATAATACGTAAGTTTGAGGTGAGTTAGGCTTGACCGATAAATTGGTTTTTTATCTCCACATATTATATCTAAGAACTTTTTCAATCGTGTTGGATCTTTTTCACAATATTTATAATCACCTGGATAACAATGATGATAGTATAAATCATTACCTTTTAACTCGATATTCCGCCATAGAAGTGGTGCACTACAATTATACCAAAAACGACTAACAAACAAAGTGGGATGAAGAGAGCCATTTATTGCTAAAAAACGTAGAATCGATTCTAATAATTCCGGCAAATTAAAAATGTTAAGCTGTATCATTTCAAAATTATATGATATTTTTAATCTGGATTTTTTTTTCTATATATTAATAACGGTACTAGTATCTCTAATACATAATATAATTTTAATTCCAATGGTTGAAAATAATAGTAATACTAAATCGATTCAACAAGAATTACTAAATAAACTGAAAACGATAGCGGAAGCTAAAACCGAATTAGAAACAAAAATCGCAGAAGAGATTAAATCAAAGTCGAGGAATAATAATGGTATTCTGGTTGATTCGGACTCACAATGTCCAATTATCTCCTATGAAAAAGCAAAAAAGATGGGTTTTAAAATAGATAAAAGTTCATCCAAAAATACCGATAGAACGATTTCCAGAATATGTAGACATATACTAAATAAAAAAATTAATATAAGTTTTTCCAAATTATTGAAAATAGTAAACCCGAGATCCAGCAAGATATTATTAAAACTGTTAATACGAGTAGTTCTCCACGTAGAAAACGTTATATTAGCAACTGTAGGAAAAGTAATGAAAGTGTCGACGTAGGTTCACTTCTAGTTCGTCTGAAATGGAGTCTGAAACGGAATCTGAAACGGAGTCTGAAACGGAATCTGAAACGGAATCTGAAAAAAAAATGTACATATAAATTTATTGTGTGAAAGTGGAAAAGCATAATTATTTTTCATCATAGATTCGGAATAACCTTGCTTCTTCAGGTGGCTCACCCCTCCTTCGGAATTTAACTATAATATAATTTCGTACTGGAGATTCATTATTGCGGGGACTATGCCGTAATTCTTGTTGGGCGATTGTCATAGCTTGCCCTAAGCTTCTAGCGTCATGTGAGACGACTGCATATACTGCTCCAATTTTACGTAAGTATCGAGGAAGTAAACCATATTGTTTCAAGAATTTATTTAGACTTTTAGCTCCAGGTTTTCCAGGACTTTTAATTTTACCAGAACTTATGGCATCCTGTATCCAAATAAGCAATTCTTTGGCTCGTTTTTCATCTTTTTCCATTGATCTAAATATTCGAGGAATATCTTGCTGGTCGCGATTTTTCGCATATCCAGTTACTCCTGTATCAGTAATGCGTAAAGTTATAATTTCGACAGGACGAATACAAAGCATTATCATTACATCGGCGAGTGCTTGTATATCTGGCAAAGTTTTAATATCATATGAATCCAATCTTTCTTTAACAGATTCTAACGAAAAATGGTCTGGATATTCGATCTTTCCAGCATCTTCGGCTTTCTGTCTTTGCTCTTTTTGAATTTCATTAGCTTTTCTTGTAATCTCGGGAATTTTTGTTGATTCAATTATTGCAGAGGATACACCAAGAATTCGCAACTCTCTTCCAAGACGCGATAACCTAGAAGATCCTGCATTTTCATTTATTGCGGTTTTAACTAATTTTACACACTCAGCATTTGTATCCTTTTCACCAAGATTATCACGCAAAATTCGTTGA